TGAAAGGCAGGTCCTGCCTGACAAACCTGATCTCCTTCTACAACAGGGCGACCTGCTTACTGGATGAGGGAAAGGCTGTGGATGTTGTTTACCTTGACTTTAGCAAGGCCTTTGACACCATTTCCCACAGCATTCTCCTGGCAAAACCGACTGCTTGCGGCTTGGATGAGCACACGTTTCGCTGGGTAAAAGACTGGCTGGATGACTGGGCCCAGAGAGTTGTGGTAAACAGAATTAAATCTGGTTGGTGGCTGGTCATGAGTGGTGTCCCCCAGGGCTTGGTTTTGGGGCCACTCCTGTTTAACATCTTCATTGATGATCTGGACGAGGGGATCGAGTGCACCCTCAGTCAGTTTGCAGATGACACCAGTTGGGTGGGAGTGTTGATCTGCTCGAGGGTAGGGAGGCTCTGCAGAGAGACCTGGACAGGCTGGAGCCGTGGGCTGAGCCCAACTGGGGGAGTTTCCATAAGGCCAAATGCCGGGGGCTGCCCTTGGGCCCCAGCAGCGCTACAGGCTTGGGGAGGAGTGGCTGGAGAGCTGCCAGTCAGAGAGGAACCTGGGGGTGTGATTGACAGCCGGCTGAACAGGAGCCAGCAGTGTGCCCAGGGGGCCAAGAAGGCCAATGGCATCCTGGCTTGTGTCAGCAATAGCGTGGCCAGCAGGGACAGGGAAGGGATCTGACCCCTGGACTCGGCACTGGTGAGGCCGCACCTCGATTCCTGTGTTCAGATTTGGGCCCCTCACTACAAAAAGGACATTGAATGACTCGAGCGTGTCCAGAGAAGGACAACGGAGCTGGTGCAGGGTCTGGAGCACGGGTCTGATGGGCAGCGGCTGAGGGAACTGGGGGTGTTTAGTCTGGAGAAGAGGAGGCTGAGGGGAGACCTCATCGCCCTCTACAGCTCCCTGAGAGGAGGGTGCAGAGAGCTGGGGATGAGCCTCTTTAACCAAGCAGTAAGTGATAGGATAAGAGATAATGGCCTGAAATTGCACCAGGGAAGGTTTAGACTAGATATTAGGAAGCATTTCTTTACAGAACAGGAATAGGCTGCCCAGGGCAGTGGTGGAGTCCCCATCCCTGGAGGTGTTTAAGAGTAGAGTTGACATAGTGCTCAGGTATATGGTGTAGTTGGGAACTGTCAATGTTAGGTCAATGGTTGGACTGGATGATCTTCAACGTCTTTTCCAACCAAGATGATTCTGTGATTCTGTAAACACTGCATCTCTAAATGGAAGAAATCTTATAACAAGCCTTCTTTCTGGGAAGTTTGCACTCTTCTGAGTAAGAAATAAGGGATCCCTCAGGCTGAGAAGCAAAAAGACAGAGATCCAAGGCTTTGAAAATTGTGGGGTTTCACATATTTCTGATGAACCACGGAGTATCTGCTGTTGGGTCTCTGCCATACCTGCTGTTGGGTCTCTACCATAGCTGCTGCTGGAACCAGGCTTTGGCTTTCCTGTCTCTGAAGGGATTATAAACAAAGATTAAGAAACAAAAGAAAATTTTAAAAAATGCAATCTCTTTATTCTTCTCTTTTTTGTTTCTAAGGGCTACTTCACAGAACAGTTGAAAATTCCTCACAAAAAAATGGAAAGAGGTTTCATTTCTTGGCTCTCTTACCTAGTGGGTTTTTTGGGGATTTCAATTTAAAAAAAAAAAAAAAAATCACAATTAAATCTGGTCTTACTGTCAGAAATCTATACTTCCCTAAATATATCATTAAACGTCAACAAAGCAGATGTGATATGGGGAAAAGAAAGAGAAAAACAACCATCTACCATTATTTGGCAGTGCAATGCTAGGAAGCTTCCGGTTTTTTGTACTTCATTGAATGACTGTCTATATATGGATCTCAGGGGCTGGGCAGCAACCTCATCATGATGATACCGGGGAAAACCTCTTCAGATACTATCTGAAAAAGTAGGACAGGATAAGAACAGCTTTGTACAAAGATCTGAGCAGTAAAATGTGCTGTTTAAAGCTGCATGTGGTAAAATTAAGAGATGGACATCCCTGTAGATATGGCACAGAACCATCATGTCACCTCTAAGGATAGTGCACCCTTTTCTGTGTCACTTGTGAAGCTGAGATTGCACTGAGTCCTTATGTGAAGGACAAGAAGCAGCTGGCAAGGTGCTCCAAAATAGTAAGCTGGGTTGGGCTGCAACTTGAATTTTAACTGGAAGGGAGGATCTTCGTAAAATCTGAACTATATATGTCAAGGCAAATTCAGCTTTCAGTTTACATCTGAATGGATCAAGTCTGTAGAGTGTAACAACAAACTGAACCATGGTAATAGGGAGAAAAGCTTGCTCCCACTTGTTCCCAGGACTTCCTCCCACTGAGAGGAGTCATCTCTCAGAAAAGGACAAACAGAACTCCATGGGGCACATTACACAGATCATTGCTTATGTGTCAACTCAGAAAGGAAACACTAGAAGCAGGCCAGCAAAACCAAAGCTGCTTGTGCCCCGTACATCTGGGAAGGGGGATTCTCAAATGGCAGGGCAATCACAGCCGCTCCCTTTGAAGGGCACTGAAAGGGCACCAGCTCTTCTCCACTTCATGCATACTCAAAGAGCAGGTAGCCGTCAGGAGGATTCACCTCCATGTTTGTGATGTTCAATGGCAAGTTGAAGCCTCCTTTTCACAAGCACAGAAGAAATAAAGAGACGTCCTGAAGTCTTGAGACTAGATGCCTGAAGAAACACCCCCAGTCTACAGTGGTCCTCAGGCTATGCAGCTGGGTGCATTACACACCCTCAGGAAGTCTAACAGCGAACTTTCAACAGACTTGCATTCCACAACAAGGTAACTGTCTGTGGGGTCCTCAGAGGTCTCCTTACCCTGACACTTACAGAATACCAGGAAAAAGTGAAAGACACATAATTAAGCTAAGGCAATCAAGATGTAACAGGGTACTTAGCAAGGAAACTCAGATACTGGTTTCAATTTTTTTAAAACATTCAGACAATATATAATTTTATTTCCTAAAAAATTTAGAAAGCAGTTGAAGTAACTCAGAGACAATAAATCAAAGCTAATGTATTAGATTACTCTGAGACACAGAAGATTTACTATCTCCCCTTGTGCCAGGTACAAGGGGATATTTTAGCTTTACTAACAGAAATTAATTCGATTTCTTCTAAATTCAAAATCCAGGCTACTTACCCTGAATGAGAAAGGAAAAAATGCATGTTCGTTTCTGTGCCCAGTGTGTTCCTGTGAAATTGGTGGAGGTATGGAGAACTGAGAGGCTTCCTACAGCTCAACACTGACAGAACTCAAGCTAAAAATAATGTGAATATCCACCATAGGAATGCATCAGCCTCATGGCTGCTGGGATCACTGCGCATGTGATGGCAGTTCTTCTGCTTTCTGAATGAGAGATAATTTTTAATTACCCTCCTCCATTTACTTTGCAACTTGTATGAAAGTGGTAGAAACTGATTTAATTCTTGTTCCTGCCAGAACGCTCTGTCTCTGAACATATCCTGTGCATTAAGTTAGTGATAAATTAGAAATAGCAAGCAAGTTTGAAAAAAAAGACAGAAAAGTCTTTCTAGCTAGGCTAGCTCACAGTGAATTTTTTGCACTACATTTTACTTTGTTTGTCCTCAAAGAAGTCAGATTTTATGGCACAGAAGTCAAGAAGTAACATTTCTATAAATTACATTTTTAGGATGGTAGGATTTTTTAAAATTTTTATCCAAAGGAAAACTTGAAACCAATTCCTCACTATGCAGAAACTAAGCCCTAGGACAACTTCAAATAACTAAATAAAAATGTTTCCCCACCCTACAGATAACCCTTGCCCTTGTATTCTTAATCTGGACACCTGAAGTTGTGGCAAAAGGTTTGCTATTCCTGCCCTCGCGCAGGAGCCCTGAGCATGTGTAGCATCTCTGCAGTTGCGTTGCTCCAAGGTGCACGCAGTCAAGAGAGAAAACTCTTGGGGTGTAAGCAGCAGCCAGGCAGGTGGCTGTGCTCTGTGCAGGAGCAGCACTGCGACAGCCTGTGGTCTGTGCTTGAGATTAGAACAGAATAAGAGGTTCACTTGTCTCTCTGGCTTTAAAGTCTGTTTACAATGCAGAGGTATGCAAAGAAACATATGAGAAGGAAAAAATTGACTTGAGCAACAGTCAAGGGGGAAGAAATAAGCCACAACATTGATTAGTGGAAACACAAGTGTTTTAGCAGGGAGTAAAACATATACCTCGGGGAGCTGGCTTTGGGGCAGAGCTCAGTGACAGAGGATTTGGATGTGTTCATAGTAATAGTGTGAAGTTGTTCTGATGAAGTCTTTCAAGCGCATGTTTCTATGACTATCCTAAAATTCCCTTGTTTACAAATATTTCCTGGAAAGTGAAAATCATATGCCTGACACATCCATTTACACTGAGGGCTGCATCAGACATGCTGGGTTCATTTTTGCTTGCTCACGGCAGGCTTGGTTGTCTGATCAGGAACAGCACCAATACCACCAGCCCTGAGACCCAGCTGCCTCCCAGAAACAGTGAGGCATTGAAAACAGTCAAACAGTTTAGGAGCAACCAGTTGTTCAGTATGACTGTATGAGGTCCATGAAAAGGGAATGTAGCAGATATCAGATGCCTGCTGGGCCCCAAATTCTGTGACAAAAATAAGAGACAGAGTCAGTGAGTTAACAAGGCTTTGCCAGTGCCTGTGCTTTCCTCAGGGCTTACACCTGCTGAAAGGCAGCTCCTCTAGCTTCATCAAAGCACAGGCCTGCTTGTCTGGGGGTGCTTTATTTTTCTGTTGTGAGTCTGTAAATGATAACACTAGGTGCAGAACCACAGGGGAGCTGAGGTAAAGCAACTGCAGGAAATATTAACTGAACTACGGTGTAAAAGCAAGATCTGCTGCCAGTCACAAGAGGAACCTGCTCATCACAAGTGAGACTACATAAATACTGATGATCACAAGAGGATTCAGTACAATAATCAGAGCAAGACCAAAAACTGTAAAGAACTTACTTGATTTTTCTTCTTTAATGTTGTACTCTACCACACCAGGAGCCTCATTCTGCAGGGGCAGGCGGACTGCAAGGACCATGTTTTTCACATTACCCTCTTTCCTAACCAAGAATATCTGAAAAAGGAGAAAGGAATCAAAAGCTTAGTTACATTATGTGAGCTGCTGAACTTTATTTTAGATCATTAGCAATGAAGATTTTTATCAGTACAATCCACCTTTAAATGATCTTATTTTAGCTTCGTTCCACTTGGTTGAACTTTACACAACAAAAAAAATGAACAAAAGGACATTTCGTTTGGGTGAAATCCAGATCTGTGAAGGAACCAGCAAAATTTCTGCGTACCACTGATGTCCCACTTAAGCCTAAGACAAACTATTTCACTAAATGAAGAGTATAAAGCTGCACTCACACTTTGTCAAGTGATGCTCCTCACCTAAGTGCCCTAATTCATGAACAACACATCCTAGAATGTCCCAGTCCAAGTCTAAAGCAAGTGAGTCATTTGTATGCTGAGAGTGAAAGGATTCAAGTGCCCATGAGTGGAACATAAGGCCAAAGGCTCTGGTAGCCACAATGTCTCACGGCAGAGATTTTTCAGGGGACCAGAAGATCATTCAGGCTGGCAGGGACCCCAGGAGGGTTCTCATCCAAACTCCTGGGTGAAACCATGAGGCCAGACAGGTTGGAGGCTGCAAACCTCTTCCAGACAACCTATCCCACCACTTACTGTCCTCAGAGGGAGAAAGCTATTCCCTGTACCCAGTCTGAACCCCTCTGGTTTCAGTGCACCATCTGTCACCTCTTGTTCTCCCACCATGCAGTGCTGAGCAGAGCCTGGCTCCATCTTCTCCATGAGTTCCCAGTAGGTACCAGTTCCCCCTAAAGCTGTCTTTTCTCCTTTTTGAACAAAGCCTGGTCCTACAGCCTCTCCTCAATGGGTTTTTGCCCAGATCACTGCCCACCAGCCCCACCAGAGCCTTTCCCACAGAGCTGCCCAGCCAGGCAGTGCCAGCCTGGATCGCTGCTTGGGGGTCTGCTTTCCTGGAGGCAGCACTTTGCCTTTGTCCTTGTTGAATTTCAGTAGGTTCCTGCCAGCCCTGTCCCCCCAGCTTGTCTAAGATCCCTCTGGATGGCACCACTGGCTTCAAGTATATTGACTGGTCCCAAAATCACAGAGCAAATGTGTTTGGAAGGAACTCTGGAGATCATCTAGTCCAACCCCCATGCTCAAAGACAGTCACTCTGGATTGTGTCTTGTCAGGTTCTTATTATTTCCAAGAATGGAGGCTCTACAGCCTCTTGGGCAACCTGTTCCAACGTTCAATCATCCTGACAATAAATAAAGCTTTTCTTAATGTTTAAATAGAATTTCCTGTGTTTCAATTTATGCCCATTGCACCTCATTCTTTCACTGGATACCACTGAGAATCATCTGGCTCAATCTTCTGTACTCCCTCCCATCAGGTATTCATACACATTCATGAGGCCCCTGAGTCTTTAACTGGAACCAATAGAACAACTGTAGCCATTGGTTCCCACCAATGGGACCAGTGAATTTTTAAAAAAATAAAGAAAAATAAGAAAGAGGAAAGGGGAAAGAAGAAATAGGAAAAAAAAAAAAGAAAATAGAAAGAAAAAAGAAACAAAGAAGACTGAATTCAAAGGAAAAAATAAAGAAAAAAGAAAAAAAACTATCTCATTCGTTGTATTGAGTGAGCTCCTAAGAGTGTTTCTAATTAAAGTTCATTGTCAAGGATATTTTTAGCTTGTTCCTTGAAATTGCAGATACAAAGACAAGGTAAACTTCACCTTTATCTGTTCTTTGATAGCAGGTTTTGGCAGGAGAGACTCAAGATATTTTTGTAAAAACTGAATTTAAAAATCAGGCTAATTCTGGAGTCTGGATATTAATATTAGAAAGAAGAAGGGTGAGTTGATAAAATGATTAATCAACTCTAGTGCAGTGGAAATCTTATCAAGAAAACATTAATTTATTGTACGGAGGAATTAAAAAAAGCTTGCTTAGAAGTCAGGACCTTTCTTTGGGTGAGTCCCAGTCATAAGGGCATCCCCTGTCACTTTGACACACCCATGCTAAACATGCAGCTTTGGGGCAGCTTCACAACCTCACACAGTGCCATTGTCTTGGCCTCTGCCATTTGTAAAAAATTGAGACCCACAGGCTCAGGTTCACCAGCAGAGAAAATGCAAATAAACACACGGCAAAGAGGTGTGTGCCTGAAACAGGCCTATTTCTAATGCAGGGTAGCCCCCACCTTCTACATCACAGAAAGCACCTGTAGGTAGGAAAAAGCCATAGAGACTCTCTCTTCCCCAGGTCCCACCACCCATGTGTCAGCATGGTCCCTCTAACCCACCCTGAGAGACTACTGAGACCTTGGATCTCAGATGGCACTAACTCACATTGCATCGGTCAAGTACTTCATCTGAAATTAGGTGTAAACAATGTGAGTGAAACCTGGAAATGAATCACTTCCGTTTTCCTGATTGGCACAACTCGTTGCCATGGCTCCAAAGGCTAAAACTGTACTATGGCTGTTCAGATGAGACGGAGGTGGGTTTTCCGAGCTGTACCTAACCCTACTGCCTGGGTCAGGACCAGCACACAAACCAGTCTCTTCTATTTTCACCAGTGATGGGAAATGTGTGATGTTGATTTGGCTTCAGGTTGGCTGAAGAGTGGCAAGAAAGCCTACCCTTGCTGAGGGATGCCTCCGATGCCTCAGCTCTCCCCTTACCTGCTTTGAGCTGCAGCTGAAGATCATGCCCAAGGATGGTGTAAATAGGAGGAACAGAGGCAAGATTAATCCCCAAAGCTGCTCAGAGGTGGGGAAATGCCCTGCCTGCAGTGAGTGGCCAATGACCGAGGAGGCTTGGGACTATGCACAGCTTTATCAGAGACAGTCACTCAGGTCTCCCTTTACAGTCAGTGTAGAAAAACAAAGAGAATAATTTGCCCAATTAATTTGTCTGCTTCAGGGTGAGGTGTGCTGCACAGTCCAGGTTGGTCAGGTGAGTCCCACCGAAGATTGTCATTTGGCTGTGCCAGCTTTTAGCCCTGGGACAGGCTGACTCAGGCAAGGGATAGGTCCAAACCTCCTCAGAGCAGGAGAGAGTGAATTCCCCTTTTGCTCTGACATCAGCTCAGGTCATTTGCACTGGCCCTCTCCAGACCCAACCAGGACAAATACTCCCTGCCATGCCTCACCTCTGAGGCCCCAGGAATGGGTAGTTCCCTTTCCTATAGAGCTGTTTTTCTTAAGCAAGCTCTGAGCTTTGCATGAGTCTAATGTAGTTTATGGGGACCAGATACCAATGATTGCACTGAAAACAGCTCCCAGCAGCTCCCAGAATTTAAGGGCCTTTTCTTCAGGGATTTTTTTTTTTTGTCCTCCAAATTAGGATAGTCAACATACCTATGGGTGTGGTGGTGAATGGGAAGGCATATCCATGAATCTACATGCGAAGTAAATAAAACCAGAGACAAGATTTCTTGCTTCTCCAGAGACATGGTATTTGTCTTGTGTCATTGTGAGTGTCTAAAGCATCAAAAGGTAATGGAAACCAAGAGCATAGTCTGCAAATTATTTTTGCTTCCACATGAAAAAAAGTACTGCTCTCCTAACCAACTCCACTAAGGACAGGAAATGTGGTTGTCTGAATCAAAATCATGTTGGACTTACCCCTGCTGTTTCTTTGCCAAGTATTGCCCCAGCTCTTTCCTGGTTCATGTTCAGCTGAAGCCAGACGGGACAGGTCTTGATGAGTTTATCAAGGATGCTGATCCCTGGAAGTGGGAGGCAGTTTTGCAGGGCAGTGGCCTGACAGAGATGTGTCTTTTTTCCCTCTTCATTGGTATCTGTGATTGGGCTGAAACACAGCAAGGGAGTCCCTTGTAAATAAAACTGCAAATAGAAAACTTGGTGGGAATAAGGACTGTAAACACAAACACACAGAGGCACTTAGACACCAGGAGAGCTCCTCGAGGGGCATCAGACCACAGATGCCTTGGTATGACTGAGCCAGACTCTGTGTACAAGCCTCGACAGACAGATAGGCCCTGTCCTCAGGAGTACGGCCTCGTGCTAATGATGCACACCTGGGTTTCAGACCACAGACTTTCAGGGTGCTTTGTGCTGAGCTCTTGTGGTCTCAGCTCATCTATCTGTGTAGCCTAAGCACAGCTACCCACAGGCAGGCTATGCACAGAGGCAGCCAGCACTGCAGAGGGTAGAGTACGCCTGTCCCCTGGACACAGCTGAAGGGTCAGAGCAATGTTTCATGACTCCCAAGGGAGTGATGTGGCAGAGGAAAGGGGCTGCAGACCTCGCCAGCAGCCGGGGATGTGCACATCGAGCCACAGTGTGTGTCCAAGGTGTGCAGGGGCCTGGCAGCCTGCAGCTCACCTCGTGGCCACGCCACTGTCAGCACTGTCAGCAGGCAGGAGCTGTGATGAGCACCGGTGCGTGGTGCCTTGCCCAGCTCTTGAAGCCTCTCCGAGGAAGCTTGCCAGCAGTAGCCAGAGACACTGTCAGCGGTTCTCATGTTTTGGGAATCACCTTCTGCGCCCAGCTTAGGTAGTCTGCCAAAAGGCAACTAAGACATACCACTATTTAAAAGTAACACCAGGTGCTCCCTGCCTCCACTGATAAGTCTGTGCTGGTGCTGGTGCTTGCAGAGGTGGATGCTCCCCAGCCCTGCATGCAGGGAGCCACTAGTGGCTGCTCGTGGGGAGGGGGAAATCCTCCACCTCCATTGTCACTCACAGAGTACATGAGGAGGAGGAGGAGGATGTGTTGGGATGCATTCAGCAGCAAGTTATCCACTACAGAAGAGGTATCTTTGCTGATTTCAAAGGCTGATCTGCAACAGGAGGATAATTCAGGCTGCAGCCCTGCAAACAGCTCTGGGTTGCTCAGCGTGACAGACACATCAAGTCCTGCAGGGCAAGACTCAGAGGACACAGACATAGCAAACCCTTTCCCTGGGTTCACAGGAAATGTGTGGAGAAACACCAGAGGAACCTTCAGCAGGAAGGAAATGAAGACTTGATTTCCCTCTTTTTTTCCTGCCACATTTGTCATTTTGACCAGTTCTAAAGATGTAATTGGACGCTCCAAAAAGATGCTGAATGACAAGAGAGGAGCCATACTGTGGCATCACATGTTAGCAATGCCCAGTCACACCTTATGTCTCAGAGCTCCTTCTCAGCTGTATAAGATGTAAGAATACTGAAATTATACTGTTGAGAATCTTAAAGATCTGGGACACGCTCTCCTTTAGATTGCTGTTCTGATCAGAGACACAAAGAAATAATTCTATTTATTTTTAGTCCCTGCAATCTAATGGCAGACCGGTACTAAATGCTAGTTTCTAGCTATGGTGCTGATTCAACAAAGCATTTGTATATGTGCTTAGCACTACAGTGGAAATACTTGTGCTGAAAGGTCTGGTCATAAGAGCTCTACTGTATAAGGCTATAGATTCATGGTTACAGGTTTGTCATTCAATTAATTGATTTAAAAGTAAAGAAAATGTGGGAGAACATACAGAAAAGATGTTTTTCTGCACTGGTTTTGCTGCTTAGATGTCAGAGCTGAAAAGAGGACGCCTCTCACTTTTGATTCGGTCTTATTTCAAGTCTTTTTCTTTTTCCTTTTATTTTTAAAGATACAGATCTTGAAGTAGTACATCTCAAATAAGGTTAGACTTAAACTACTAAAAGAGACTCCCTTCGAAGGCTTAACCTAATATAGCATACTTATCCCAAAAGTTAGTTTTTACAAAAATAGTCTTTCAAATCTCAAAATGAAGAGTGAGATTTTATTTTTAGTAGTTTTCTTTCTTTTGCAACCCTATACAGACAGCTTCCTTAGAAAATATATATTCCACTGCAATCCCAGTTGCTGATTCAGAGTATTAGTCCACAGAACCTTGATTTTAATCAATCCATTTTTGATATCATAGCCAAGGCAGTAATAATAAGAGAACTATGCTTAAAAAAGCAAATAGAAATAAGTGAAACTCTCTTCACTTGTGATAAAAGCCCAGTTTGTCACACAGGTGAGGAAATTTCTTTCAGATACAACAGCATATGATTTTAATCAGTAGCATCTGAACATATGGAGTAAAACAGTGGAGGACAGCTTTTGGAAGCTGACCTGATTCATCTCGGTTTCTTTCTTTACAGTAGAAACCAAAAGAAGTGCCTAGTAACCATGTGAAAAGAAGACGTGAGTTAGATGGCAACATGCATACTCAGTAATGGGAAAGAAGTAATGAGCTGAAGGAAAAGAAAGATGAGTTATAATGAAATGTTCCATAACACTGTTAGCAAAATCTGCTCCCCAAATTAGGCACACAACCATGAATCTGATCCTGCCAATGATGTGTGAAACCTAGATCGAAAGGAGGCCAATGCTGATAATGTCTTGCTGCAGTACCAGAAGGTGACATGCATTACAATAGAACCAGTGATGCTGAGCTTCGATACCCTTTAATTACATGAAAAGAAAAGTGTCAGCAAAGCACTGATGCTCAAGAATCCCATTGCCTGGACAGAAATGAGGATATCAACAAAGACAAGGAGATAATACAAAGCAGCTTGCACCAGGTATGTAGTGACACTGGTGCGGTGTTCCCCATGGGGGAATGCAGGTTTCATGCAGGCAGAGGCCCCCAGCCCTCTGCTCCCTCCAACAGGCATGTCGTCTAGATGGAGGCCTGCTCACAGCAGCAACACGGGTTTGGCAGCAAGAACAGACTGGTGAAGAAAAATAACAGAACTGACCTTCCAATGCATGTGGCTGCATGTAGGGCCCATTGCCTTAAGTTTTGAAGAATGGATGAAAAATAGAAAATCATTCCAAACTTAGACAAACAAGATCAGAAATTAAGAGCCTGAAAATATTTGTCTTAATGGAAACATCTCACAATTTGGGTGTGTGGGGTCTTTCAGTGCAGATAATTAAGGACAGTGGATGAGGCTTTTTGGCAGAACAGGATCCCAGTCTTTTGGGGGTCCTCTCGGAGGGGAGCCCTCATGTGGGGTATCCTCCCCTTAAAAGCCAGCCCAGCCCAGCCGGAACTAAGCAGGCTATTGTACCTGTACAGAGAGAGGAAAGGACAGCTCTGTAAAGGGGGAAGCTTTGATAAAAGGAAGGGCAAGAAGAGTCATTAATGGGATCATACTAAAACAGAGGAATGTTAGGCTAGACACTTCCTGGCAGTGAGTTATAACATGATGGATAAGTTCCCAAGAGAAGGGGAAGAGGATTGCATGGGCCAAAACTCTTAAAACACCATGTTTAAAGAAGCAGCAAACACTTTATTGAGTCAAATCCTGTGCTGGCTAAGAAATGGAAGTAAATGACCTAAGAGACATTTTTCAGCTGTAATACTGTGACCCATAACATACCAGCTGATGCCATTATGGCACTGATGCTTGACTTCTTTCCTGGGCACAGCTGTCACAAAGGTCCAGATGCTGAGCTGTGAGAGTGCTTAATCCAGCAATTTAATCTGGCTTCATGGTAGCTCTGTAGCTGTACAGAGAGGCAGGAGTCCAGGCAGATCCTGGGTTCTTGCTGTGCTGCCAGTTGAAGGTATTTATGGGGTCGCTGCAGAGAGCAGCTGGCCTTTGCTATTTTGCTCAGAATTCATGCATCGGATGATTTCTAAGATCACAGTGTTCAGAAATAACATGCAACTCTCTCCCTCTCTCCTTCTTCCACAGTGCTGCAAAACCCTTTGTTACAGGCAGGTGCTCATTTTTGTTAGGTGTGATGAAAAGCTGGCCCTAGAGCTGCCTGCTCTTTTTTTTTTTTTTTTTTTTTTTTGTTTAATTGAGTTCTTACTGCAAAGTACTTTTAAATCCTGTGGCCGTTCTGCTAAATTGAACTCAGCTGGGATGCAGGGCGCTATGTGTTGCATACTGATTGGCAACACAGGTTAATTAATTGCACAGTGATTACATTCACACACCTGCCCCACTTTGGCAGAAGGTATGAGGCTGCTTGTTGGAAGTAATAATAGTGACAATGATAATTTGAATTATTGCTCAGTGTCTGTACACTGAAATAATGATACCAGCATGATTCATTGTTCTAGAGACAAAGCACCACACTTGGCAGCTGAGTATTCCCAGAAATCATCAGAACTGCAAGGAAATATAATCCACTGAATTTCATGCAGGTGCAGGCCTGGACATACCTTTGCAAGAGACTTTGAAACATTGCCACAAGCTTGCCGACACTAAAGGGCTTCCTGGCTATACTATATAGGCCTGGTCACTCTGAATTTCCCTGAGGCAGCTGAGACACAGAGAAATTGTGTGCAACAGGAGCAGGACTGTCAGATTAATTTTTCACTCCTGCACATTTGCAGCTTCTGCCTGTCCCCAGACCAGATTTGAGAAGATGCATCAGGTGTTATTAAATCTGAATTTTAAATTGGAAACCAAATGCTCTGTAGTGCACTGATTAAGGAAAGACTGAGGACCTTAGCTCTGTTTAAATAGACTGGGTGTAAGAATTGGGAGCTAGATTTTTATTAGTATGTTTTATTGCTTTTATTTTTCCCCCTGAATATTAGAAGACATCAAGAGAGCAAGAGCAAAGGTTTGCTGTGCTGTCCTCAAGCAAAGAGATACTCTGGTATATTTACATTTATAGCAGAGCAGACACCACAGGTCTTAAAATCTGTGTCAGCCGGCTCGCTGCTGAGGGAGAAAGTTGGAGAAGTGGCCATAAATTCCATGCACCAGGTGAAGAGCAACTTTTTGTGCCAAAGCCACTTCATACCTGAAGGGATACCATTCAGGACAAACCAGCTTGTGTCTGAAGCTCACATGTGGAAACCCTTTGTGCTGG